ATTTTTAAAAATGTTTTCGTGTCCGGATATAACCTATTTTCTCATTGTGAAATATTCTCATGAACAAATTTACTTGTTACGCCATATTAAATCCGCCACTTTGATTTTTTTCATTTTTGAAGTTACATTTGGATTCAGTGATCTTAAAAACTAGCAAGTAACAATTTAAAAAATAATTCCATGAATTTTATGAATATCACGTTGGATCAGCCATTTCTTGTTAAATCTAACATAAAATTCCGAATCAGCATCCTAAAAAACTCATGAGTATTATTGAAAGGAATTGAATGCCCAGCTTGTTTTGTTATAAATTAAATAATATTCAGTAATTTTTGTCAAAAATCGCGTTTGCGTAACTCTCTCCTGTCAGTTTCTAAACATGAAACATTTAAAAAGAATTATGTCTCGTGTCCAAACAAGAAACGTTATATTCAATGAGAAAATGTGTTTTGTCTGGATACAAAACATTTTGGTATTTTAAATGTGTTAGGTCTGAATACAAAAACATTTCTTTATTTCAAAAGTGTCGGCTCCGGACACGAAACATTATTCGACGAGAAAATGAGTCGTGTCCAAACACGAAACGATAATCAATGTAGAAATGTGTCGTGTCAGGACACAACACATTAGTCAATGTAGAAATGATTCGGGCAGGTCCCTGATATATACCATTTTCTACATAGACAATAATAAATTTATTTATTCGAATAATTAATATTTGAGTGGATTTTGCAATATTTTTCTATTTGCTGGTTAGTTAATAGTTATTTTACATTTATTATCAAAAGATTGAGTTTATTGTATCTACTTAAGAAGAAAATAATTTCTAATTTGTATATTAATTTTCTACTTAAAACTTAAAATTGATCCTGACTTGTTGTTTTTGTAATTGAAAATAAAATTTTACCTATTTTTATTCTCTTTTTCTACATGAGAGGAGAATTTTGGGTCATATTTTGTTGTTTTTCAATTTGTAGAAAAATTTCCTTTCTATTTAAAATACCATCTATATATAAATGTTACTCGATGTTAATTTTCTACTAAAATGTGAATTTTATCCTAATAATTTTATTGTATTAAGGAATATGAGTGTTGTCTGACCAAAAATACCTTTTCTACTTAAAATCTGAATTATGACTGACTCGACATTAAATACTTTTTCTACTTAACCGCTGTATTTTATCTCTGGCTTACTGTTTTTCTTCTACATAATTAGGTAGAAGAACTATTCACTATTTAAATAGTAAACTGTGTCTAAATTAGTTTTATTTTTCTACTAAGAAAGTAAATTTCGTCGTACAATAATTTTTAGTAAGAAATTGTCACTCATTGAAAATTCGCTTATTACTAGCGAATAGTCGCTAATTCAAATTTAGAGAGTACTTCTGTATTTTGTCTGACTTAGAGTTCTTTTTCTACTTAAATAGTAAATTGTGCCTGACTTGGTTCCCTTTTTGCTAAAAAATTTAATTTCGTCTCATAATAATTCGTAATAAAAATTTAATTTGTCCTAAAATACTTTTTTCTATATTTAATTAGTAAATTATGTCTGACTTGATTTTCTTTTTCTACTTAAAAGCCAAATGGCTCATGACGTTCGTCTATAAATAATAATTTTATTGTTCTATTTAAAAAAATGAAATTCGTCTGACTGAAAATTCTCTTTCCACTTAATATCGTTGAGTGTTTGTCTATAAATATATTTTCCCATTGTCAACGAACATTAAGGGTGTATATATCGAAATCGTTACTTTGAGCTAAACATTCGGTGATTAGAGGTAAATGTTCACCAGTGGAATTGGATATACTATGTATAGTGCATAGAAGGACAAAGGGCACTGTAAGCATTGTGTTTCCTTGTATATATATATATATATATATATATATATATATATAGTTGACAAATAAAAGTAATGTGAGACCTCGGTGTTATGGCCCGTGAGACGGAAGACGATGATCGTTATACGAAAACGTGCCGGCTGTTTCTGGACTTCTCACGTATTTTTCGTATATACAAACTTTATACTTGTTTCGAATCAGTGCGAATTTTTCCCTGATAAAAATTTCTATACCTCTATATACAATAATACCTTTATATATATATATATATACATACTTTCTCTACTTGGTTTCTCGCCTTTTCGTAAACAAGCTTCCAAGAATTTCACAACATTACATTTACCTTTCATTTTGCGTTTTCTGAAATATCCATTTACAACTTATATATATTGTTGGTTCTTTGCGTTTCTGAATTCAGAATTGCGCATTTTCAAAGTTTTAAACTTGGCCGACAATATTTTTGACAAGTTTTTATTACATAGTATTTTATTTTTCAGTAATTTATTCCCAAGTAGCACGTAATATTACAGTATTCTTTAAATGTCCGCTTGTTGGTAATATGACAGTAATATTACATGTAACACTACTGTAATATTACAGTAATATTTTCGGGTAATACTTAATAATTTCGGGTATAATAATAATTACAGTATAATGTTACTGTTAAATTAATATTAATTACTGTATTATTAATTACCGTGTAATATTACAGTAACGTTAAGAGAATATTTTTTTCGAAAAATAGAACCGCATCCGGGAATCGAACCACGAACCCAATGCATATGAGTTGAGAGTTATAACCAATAAGCCAAATAACTTATAGCATATTTATGTTTATGAGTAAATCACGGCGAGCTGTAATATCACTGTAATATTGGAGTAAAATTAATGTAATATTATCGATAATATTACCATCAGGTGGACATTTTAATATTACGGTAATATTAACAGATACACGCATAGAAAAAGTTTGCTGTCGCAGCGAACTATTTGATGTCACATCAAATTACCTTAGCTAATATAGGGACAGCGAACAAATTTGCCGTGGGGTCAAAAAAGTTTGATGTGATAGTACATTTTTAAAAATTAAGACTGAATTGTTTATTACAGCAAACTTTTTCGTTGTCATTGAAAAACATTTAGCTGTGGTTACTAATTTTATCCGATAACAAACATTAGTTAGCATCTGTAAGCAATTTTCTTTTTTTCCGTGTAGTGGGAACTTTTTTGTTTGTATTTATTTAATAGAAGATTTATAAATTCCTTTTGTCTCTCCTATATATCTTTGGAAATGGAATTTTACGGTTAATCGATTGTTGTCAAAGAGGAGTGAGAAATAAAAGAGTGTAACAGTATCAGAGAGAGAGAGAGAGAGAGAGAAAGATGACACGATTTCGATCAATAAAGAGCGCCAGACAATATAAAATGTATAAATGTACGCAATGTAATCGATGTATATCCTATGCCTAGTTTGACATGTTTAGGTATTTCTATTAAAATATGTAAATTTATCGTCGCGCATATTTGAAAACGGATAAATTATGCCGGTCGTGTATCGTTCGCTAACTCCGCTCGCTTGCTCGGTCGGTAAAATATCGATGGGCACGCGAGAGTACGGGTTCCGCGCATAACGGCACGCTCTCTGTCGGCCAACGCAACACGAATGTTATTTATGACGCTCATTGTGTAACGATCATAAATTATCTCGTTATTTACGAAAGGAGTCGACCACCACATTTATAAATATAAATATATATATATATATATATATATATGTATAATGCAGAATTCACTTTTATATTTAGTGTGATTTTATAATGCGGATGAAGCTTTTGGAAAAAAAGTTTTGTAACCGCGTTCTCATATAACTTTTCTGCAACAAAATCCACACTAATAGTTAAGAGCTAATTTAGATAGCTTTTGTAATTCGAATTGTTTCTGTGATTGCTCGTTTCGAATAAATGCGCGCGGGGCATTTTGTGTCAAGGTTGCATTCGAATTGTGGTATAAAGTTTGTTATTGGCTTGTTGTATTGCTGTTGAAAAATACCACAATATAGTTTATAGAACTTCCAAATCGGAAAATATATTTTTGTTTATAATTTAAGGGAAATAATTTCTTTTTTATATTGTTTAGTTTCAGGGAAAATATTTAAAAATTAATTTTTCTGTTTGACTGAATTAGTTTAACTACTTATACGGAAAAAAAGGAATTGCTTACAGATAACTGATGTTTGCTATCGGATCTATCGAAATTAGTAACCACAGCTAAATTTTTTGCTATGACAACGAAAAAGTTTGTTGTGATAAATAATATCAGTGTTAATTTTTAAAAATTTACTGCGTCACAGCAAATTTGTTCGCTGTCCCTATATTAGCTAACATAATTTGATGTGACAGCAAATAGTTCGCTGCCATATCAAACTTTTTCTATGCGTGTAAAATGTTTATCAAGTTTCTCGCAAATATATGATTGGCAGGATATTTATGTCTGACCTAACTTACTGTGTTTCACTTAAACACACGGAAAAAAAGGAATTGCTTACAGATGCTAACTGAATTTTTGCTATCAGATAAAATTAGTAACCACAGCTAATTTTTTTTTGCTATGACAACAAAAATGTTTTATGTGATAAACAATATTAGTCTTAAATTCAAAAATTTACTGCCACAGCAAACTTGTTTGACTCCACTTTTCTGTTTCTATATTATCTAACTTAATTTGTTGTGACATCAAATAGTTCGCTGCCACAGCAAACTTTTTCTATGCGTGCAGTGAATTTTACAATTTCTGGTATTGTTTGTGATTTTTTGCATTGTTAAAATTATTTTGATAATAATTTTTGAATATTTAAAATATTTATAGGTTCCAAATACCTGTTGGTTATTATATGTATATCAGATAACTGAAACTATTCTTCGAATATTGAGGGCTCTCTCTATCTCTATGTAATTTGAGACGCTTGAAATTGTTCCGATACTGACACTATGTTATATATGCATCTTGCTATTCGAAACTTGTTGTCTAATAATAATTAATTGTCAAACAGGAAGTATGTCTTTTCGAGAATAATTACGTGTTTTCACCACCATTGATAAATTTGCATAGTTTTAAAAGGATTATTGTTGCTCAATATAGTTTTTCAGAAAAAAAACCAAAACTTTCGTCGAAATATTTATTTGTCTAAAAAATTAGAAGTTGAAAATTTCGTATATTGACAATATTATTCACATATTGGAAAATTTTATTTCATTTTTAATTGTTTCCCGTCCTTTGAATTGACATTTCTGAAACCTAAAAAGCGAAATTTCAAAATTTGTTTCTTAATGTGAAAATAAAAATTGGCTAATTGGAAAAATTAGGGATTTTTTTTACCTGTACTTCGTGTCTAGTGCCAAGAGCATACATTAAAGCATCCGCAATATCTTCTGGTAAAATACGAGGAAGGGATTCGACAAATTCTTTAACTTCTGGAATGTTTAGGCCCATTTCTGTTTTGACTAATCCTGGACAAATGCCCTGTAAAAATATTCATGTTTAAAAAAAATTGAAACAAATACTAATTTATTGTATTTAAATAGAAACTACTTTCTTTCTGAAAAAAAATTTAATTGATTTAAATAAACGGTTACTTGATTATTATCAGATAAATATTTATTTGAAGCAAATAATTTTTATTTGAATTCAATAAACTGTATTTAAACTAATAATTTCTGTATTTGAAATAAATTGGCTCAAATAATAATACTAATATAATTATTATTACAAATAGATATTTATTTGATAATAGTCAGGTAATTATATTTGAATTAAATAAATTTTTTTCCAGTTTAAATATGGAACTATTTATGAAAATAAAATAATAACGCACAGTTATTCGAATTGGAAGTTTAGCTGCTTTTATTTCATTACGAACACATTCTGTCATTGCAACAGTTGCATGCTTGCAAGCCGGGTATAAATTCCAACCATTGCATCCTTCTTTTTCACTAAGTCCACTCTCAGGAATTATGTGACCTAACGCACTTAATAATTATTATTAATAATTATTAATATGAATAATAAATAAGGCACATAATTTTATGTGTGATTTTATTAATAATTTTATTAATAATAATTTATTAATTTTACTAATATCAAATAATAAAAATATGTTTATCAAAAAATGAAAAAATATTTTATTGACAGATGGAAAATAGATATATAAGGAAAAAAAAACCTGTTTATGTTGAAAATATGTCCCTCGACTTTTCTAGCCTTCATTGAAGCAACAGCCTTTTTAATGCAAGTTGCCATTGCAAGAACGTCGATATTCAATAAACGTTCGAAGGTTTGTCTGTCACTATCTAAAAGTGCAATTTTTTTTTTATTCACCTTTATTAAGAAAATAGCAAATTGCTTCTATAATAGAATAAAGAAAAGGGAAATTTTTTATAAAAAAGTAAAAAAAAATTTATAAAAGGGGAAAATATAAATAAAAGTGAACGAATTATAAAAAATATAAAAAAATGTTTATTGTAGAAACAAGTGATAGTTTCTTGGAAAAAGAAATGAAAGTAGGAAAGCTTGAAAATTTTTCACTATGCCTTGCATTTCTCATTTCTTTTTTTTTTCTCTATATATATATATTGAAGACATATAAGCTTCGTTCTTCCGGTAAATTACCACACTTTTATGGCACAGTCTTTGCCGGATATACTCGAACCATACTTACACTATAGCCTTAGAATAGCTCTTTACTATACGATACACTGCGGAATGTCGCTTAGAAACTTCTAGCTTTTACAGAGTTTCAGACTTTTTATTTCTTGCAAAATGGTTTTTCTTTAGTCAAAATGTTTATTTTTGTAAAGAGAAAGGAAAATTTTTTTTGAATTAAAATTTATAGAAAAATTAAAAAGAAATTATAAATAAATAATTTTCAAGTTATGTTTTTAAAGGGAAAATAAACTAAACGCGATAATGGTGTATTGAGAGATTTTGCATTAATATGATAGTATATAGAAAGTGTATAGATATAATATCATTTCATCCGATGGAGTTAATGACATTGTTGGAAATTTCAACGTTGAGTACGTTTCAATTATATCGAAAATGTTATCATAACAAAATGAGATTTTCAATATACGGGACATTTCACCATTCTCCACACATTGTTCACATCTCTTTTTTTTTTTTTTTTACCAAAACTTTTTAAACCAATGTTAAAAGTTCTCGCGTAGGGTAAAACAATATCGAGGCTATATATATATGAGAGAGTAAAATGTTTTCAAACTAAAAATATCAATTTTTAAAAAGGTTTAAATTTAGTGCTTTTCATTTTATTATCAGGTGAGGAAATTTTTTTTAGATTAATATGTAATTAAAATGAATTTGTTTTTTTTAAATTACAAATTAATTATAGCAATTCTTTGAAACTATTTTTAGTTTTTATTTTTGTTATTATGACTTACCGATTATTCGTGAATAATTGCAAATTCCCGCATTGTTCACCATTATGTCAACACCACCCATATTTTCATCGGCAAATTTAAAAGCTTTTTGAATATCATCATATTGAGTTAAATCACATCGAATTGGATGTAATTTGCCAAAATTTTTGTTTTTATTCGTTTCATTGGCGGTTTTTTCTAAACGTTCTTTTTGTATGTCCAAACCAACTACGTTTATTCCCTTCGATAAAAGAGCTTGCGTTATTGCAGCACCCATACCGGAAGCAGCACCTGTCACTATCGCTGTTTTTCCTCTCCAACGGTCCATATTCTGAAAATTGTTATCCGTTGTTGAAATTTTTTTTTAAACATTATTTTGGTGATTTTTTTTTTATTTTAATAACTTTTTATTGAACAATTTTTTATTGAAAAAAATGATTTAATTCAAATAATTGATTACTTGATTAATATCAAATTAAATAATAATTTATTTGAATTAAATCATTTTTATTTAGATTAATATGAATATATTAATAATAATATTTGGATCAAATATTTTTGGATTAAAAGTTGAAAGTAATTTAAATTTTTTTGATAAAAATCATTCTTTTTTGATATACAATTAATTATTTGTTTGGTAATAATTAAGTAAATGATTATTTAAATTAAATGCATTTTATTCAACATGTACACGATATTTGTATTCCTTGTAAACGAATCGTTTCTCGTTGTTAAAAATAAACCGGTTTTAATGTCACTCATTTAGATAAGGAACTTCACTAATGCAAAAATTCGTATTCTGAACAATTTTTAGAAATGATAGAATTTAATTTTTAAAAATGTTTTGAATTTTTCGTTCAAGAAAAAGAGAAAAATAGATTTAATAAATTTTTTTTAATAAATGTTTGTTTATTTTTTTTAAGAAAACTTTATTACTTTATTTTAATTAAAAAAAAGAGTAGGTTTTTGCACAAAAAAAAATTAATTGATTATGCTATAATTAATTCAACTAATGTTTTGTTATCTAAACTAAAATTTATAAAAATATTATAAAAATTCTTTTTAGTTAATGCGATAAATTAACTGAAAATAAGTGAAACTTGATTGAAATTAAAAGATTATTTTCTATTAATTTTTTTAAAAATTTGTTTAATGACTTTACCTGCGTATAAAGTTTAATTAATCTGCTCAAATCTTGTGCTACTAAATGTGGATAATATTGTTCTGAGCACGCTGCTCTCCACTTGGCAATATAGGTGTTATCTCTCTAGTTGTGACTTTACTTTTCATTACTTCAATTACATAATAGTATGAAGGTCGTTTGGTTGTGAAGTGATAAAAATTGTAAAATTTAAACAGTTTAACACATGCGTTATATTATATATACATTTATGCGTAATGAATAATTGTAATCGATATATTTGAATTTTATTCAATAATGTATTCTTTTTATATAATTTATAATTTTTAGCTTTTATTTTTCAAAATTTTTCAAAATTTTTCATTTTACATATTTTATGGAGAAAGTATCGTGAAGCAAATTTAAATATTTGCAAATCATTTTTTTTTTTTAATTGTCAAATTCTGTTATAATTTTTTAGCATTTTGAAAAAAAAACTTTTTTAAGTACAACTTTCACAAATCACGATGTGCACAACTTGAAACTTTTCCATTTTATGGTGAAGTGAGAGGGAACATCGACAAATTGCTCGAGCTCTATGGAACTTTTCTTTAACATTTTATCCGCATGCTTGCCGATGAAATATCTCAAGACTCGTAATGATTGCCGCGAGGTATTCTAGTTTCTGAGATCACAAATTAACCGCATTAAATACGCGATGCCATCACCCAGTAAATGAGGTCACTTTTTTTTTTCTTTTTTACACTTTTCTCCGTGAACGCTGAGAAATCAAAAATTTCTTAGTTTACGATTTTTAAAGGCGATACGTGAGTTTAAAGAACTTTGAAGTTTTTTTTTCTGAAAATGATAATTTTTATTTGATTAATAAAATTTTAGTTTGAAATTTTTATTAATATTTTCCTTTGTTTTTTTTGTTTCAGGTATGTTTGGCAATTTTGTGATATTGAATATGTACTGGAAATTGGTGAGTGAATTAAATAGTTTAAAATTTAATTTTTTTTCGGGAATTCTAGTAACTTTTTTGTCAAGCTAGGGACTTTTTTTATTCTGGTGACGATTGGTTACTTTCTATAATAACTTGTTTGTTAGTTTAGTAATTTTTTTTTATAATTTAGTAACTTTTTTCGGGAATTCTAGTAATTTTTTTGTCAATCTAGGGACTTTTTTTATTCTAGTAACGATTAGTTACTGCAAAAATTGATATAGTATGCAAATTTTATGCTAGTAACATGATTTTGTTATTAATTTTTTTTGTAGATTTAGTAACTTTTTCGGGAATTCTAGTAACTTGTTTGTCAATCTAGTGAATTTTTTTACTCTGGTGACGATTGGTTACTGCCGTAATTGTTATAGTACACAAATGGTGTTCTAGTTAATTGTTTTTTAGTTTAATAATTTCTCTGTAGGTTCAGTAACTTTTTTCGGGAATTCTAGTAATTTGTTTGTCAATGTAGAGACTTTTTTATTCTGGTCACAATTAGTTACTGCATAAATTGATATAGTATGCAAATAGTATGCTGGTAACTTGTTTGTTACTTTAGTACCTTTTTGTAGGTTTAGTAACTTTTTTCCGGAATTCTAGTAACTTGTTTATTAATCTAGGAACTTTTTGTATCTCTAGTAACGTTTTTTTACTTCAGTAATTGTTTTAATATTCAAGTAATTTGTTTTTTTTAGTAAAGTCTTTTTTTGTATTCTATTTACATGTAAATAAAATTTAGCAAAATGGATAATTTTCTTTGTTACTTTGTTTGTTACTTTAGTAATTGTTTTAATATTCTAGTAACTTTTTTGTTATTTTAGTAATTTGTTTCTATGTTTAGTAACTTTTTTGGACTTTCTAGTAACTTGTTTATTAATCTAGAAACTTTTTTGTATACTTTAGTAATTGTTTTAGTATTCTAGTAACTTTTTTGTTATTTTAGTAATATTTTTATAGATTCAGTAACTTTTTCGAACATTCTAGTAACTTGTTTGTCAATTTAGGAATTTTTGGTATACTTTAGTAATTGTTTTAGGATTCTAGTAACTTGTTTATTACTCTAGTAATTTTTTTATAGGTTTAGTAACTTTTTCGGACATTCTAGTAATTTGTTTGTCAATCTAGAAACTTTTTGTATACTTCAGTGTTTGTTTTAGTATTTTAGTAACTCGTTTGTTACTTTAGTAATTTTTTTCATGAGTTCAATAATTTTTTCAGGCATTCGAGTAACTTGTTTGTCAGTCTAGGAACTTTTTGTATCTCTAGTAACAATTTGTTACTCCAGTAATTGTAAGTAAATTCTTTTTGCGAATTCAAGTGACATTTTAAGTAAAATTTAGCAAAATGGATAATTTGCATTTCTCACTTTTAATTGTTAATTCGTGATTAAAAGCACGAAAACTATCAATTTGTTGATGCACGTTGACAAGTAATCTCATTGCTTTTCAATGTTTTGTCCTTTGTATATATATATATATATATATATATATATATATATATATATATATATATATTGTTATTCGTGAAATTATTTTCGACGGTAACTTGTTAATTACCTGGATCCAAGCTGAGGCCAGTCTCACACTCTTGTTTCCTGAGTTCTTCGGTAACGACTTCCCACACTAGATACGGTCCTGAGGACCATCTCATTCATACATATTCATGAGGCAATAAGGCCACCGCTGATCTTCCGGGGAATGGAATTATGAAACAACAAGAGAAGAATAGAAAATAGGAACGTAGCGCAAACCCTTGCAGCTATATAGGTTAGTTTCCCTTCGCCCCTTTTTTTGTCCCTTCTTTCTTTTTTTTTGCTTTCCCTTCACTTTTTTTTTAGAGTTCCGTTTCATTTTTCTCTTTTCTTCATTGTTTCGTCCATTTGTATTTTCTTCTTTTTGTGTTTTCTTCCATTTTTTCGAATTATGCATTAATTTTAATAATTAAAAAAAAAACATAATAATAAAATTGTTAATGTAATGTATTGTTTATGCGAGTAAATTTGTAACTATCGTAAGTGGTTGTGGTTTCTGCAAGTTGTACACGTTGATGTTGTTGAATTATATATATATATATATATAGAAGCGAGTTGTAAGCATTGATGCAGTCTTTCACAATTGAGTATACAATCTCAAAGTCAGCACAATAGATATAAGTTTTAATTAGCATCAGTATGAGACGATGTGACAAAGGAATTTACCTGCCGTCAGCAGATAACAGATTGTCACTCATCAAAAGCACAGTTTTCTTTAGCAAAAACGACACCATGTATAGTGACGCGACGGTATTTTAGCGTAGACGCGAAAACAATGAGACACACCTGCAAATGGAAAATGTTTATTATAATTATAATAGTAATAGAAATTAACACAATTTTGTTTGTTTACAATATTTTCTATTATGACAAATTATAATTCGAATTTCTAAACATTTTCATGAATAGAATAAGATAACAAATGATTTTATAATGATTATATATGTCGTGACGTGGTGATAAGGATCTTAGAAGCAAAAAATTATGGATGTTTTGAAATTTTTAAGTAAAAATACACAAAGATCCTAATAATAACTAATGATGTTGAAGTCTTCATTGTATCGAAAATAATCAATAAAAATTAATTCTAATATTAGTAACAAAAAAAAAACTTTTAATCAGGGTAAAACTGACTTAAACATAACCTATAATTTTTTGCTTCTAAAGTCCCTTTCAGGACACATATTAAGAATTATATTTTGAAATATTTTTTTTTTGCAATATAAAAAGTCGTGACTAATATAATATGTAATTTAGTGGGAATTTTAATCTTCTCTTAGGTGGGATATATTGTATATTGCAAACGTCACTCATGTCCAGAAACAATACTACTATCCTCGGATATAACTCTGATGGACGCACAGTATTCATATTTGAAACTTGCTCACAAACGGTTTCCTTGTCTCTCGTTGAGTAGAAGCTACCTCGACAGATCCACAAATTTGCAATCACGACAATGATCCTCCAAGCAGAGGGTAAATCTACCCTAACGGTAGAATCGATATGTTAGGTATGCCAAGTGCAATTGTGGTGTATATATATATAGAGAGATGCGTGCCGAGTTACCCAAAACAGTATATTTGCATATACAATTAAAAGTTTCTAATTTCCCATTTCTCCATTTCCACATTGGTTATATAATGCGACATTTAAATAGTATTTTATTACAAATGGGAAATAAATTAGGGACTTTTTTTCAATAGAACGATATTTAAGTGAAAAAATTTTGGAACGCATAATTATATCACATAAAAATCAAGTTACTATTTTCATTTTAAAGAAATTAAAATTAATTTTTTAAAGAATTTTCATTTTTCGAATTTGTATTTGACAAAATTTATTTTAAAATAAATTTTTACTCTACAGAATTTTTATTTGGTGAAATTTTTATTTTACTTTTCTCATTTAATAGAACTTTAAGTGCTTCGAATTTTTAAATGCTAGAATTTCCAATTCACTGAATCTTAATTTGTCAAAATTTTTATTTGTACGAATTGTTTTCTGATACACTGAGAAAAATGTTTAGTCAGAGCAACCAAAATTTGGTTGGGCCAACAAAAAAATTTTGTTGGTATTTAAGCAACCAAACTATTTGTTTGAGTCAACTAAAAAATTTGGTTGAGTGTTTTTTATTGGCATAACAAAAATGTTTGCTTGATCAAACAAAAAGGTTTTTTTGTAAAATTAAAAATTTTATTCTACCTTATTTCTTTTCCTTTTATCTTTTTTATTTATTTATTATACAATTTGACATTGAATTTATATTTATCCAATTGAAATATTTGTGGACTATGAAAAATTTCATCTCCGCCTGGGATCGAACCTCTGTTTTAAAACTGAAGATCGGGAGCTCTGACCACTGGACTACCCATCCTTGTGAGAGATTTAAACTAACTGTTCTCTTAAGCTTTGAGCTGAGAGCGAATCAAATTATTTAGTTGTCGCAACCAAATTTTGATTAGGACAACAAACAATCATTTGGTTTTTTAAACCAAACTATTTTGTTGTGTTAACCAAATTATTTTGTTGTCGTAACCGAATTTTGGTTGGAATTTAAAAATATTCAACCAAATAATTTTGTTGGCCTAACCAAATGTTTGGTTGAGAGAACTCTGCGACTTTGTTTCAGCCAACCAAAATTTGGTTACAAGAACCAAAATTGCCTAATCAAACAATTTTGTTGCAAACA